GTGGCAATGCTGTAAAATTGAGAACCAACCTAAATCATAAGTAAATTTATTAACTACTCCCATAACAGGGCTTAGGGAGTGACGGGTGCTTTTTCCTGTTGGCGTTTAACGATGGCACGTTTAAAACATTCCAACTCATCGATTGGGTGCGACACGTGCCGCTGGATGTGTTGGCCAAAAATTTTCAAGTAAGTTACTAAACATTCCGCTAGCTTATCACAATAGGTGTAATAAACAACAAGTGCAAAGGTGACAGGTCTGACAAATTTTATTCACCACGCAATATTTTATAATAATATAATATAATGTTTAATATGATATTTCATTAGTTTTGCGGGAAAAAAAGTTATCACCTTCAAACGATGTAATCACAAAATATTTACCACCTAGGTGCTACCGGAGACGTTTGCCAACGTACCGCAGGGAAATCTGTACATATTCGCCAGCGAACTGCCCCGACCTCTAGCCCAGGAGAAAGCGATAGCGGCGGAGGGCACGGGTGAAGTGCCCCAAACGTACGCCTACTTCGCGTCGACCCAACCGGCGAACGCCACCCGATGGGGCGGTACGGCTAAGATCATTGACAAAACCAACTTCCCGGTGACCACAATCGCGGCCGCCATTGTAACCCTCAAACCGGGCGCACTCCGGGAACTTCACTGGCATCCAAACGCCGACGAATGGAACTACTGTGTGACAGGTAGAGTGACCAACGTAAAACAAGTATTACACGCGCGATGCTATGCACTTAACCACAATTCGGGGGTAGAGGTGCATCAAATTTTTGTAAATGTCAAATACTATTGGTAGGATACTTTCAACATTACTATTATATGCATTTAAAAATTTTTAACAGTTTCAAAAATCGGCAAATGGTCAGAGACGTCCGAGTATTGGATAATTTTAATATCACGCGCCAATACCTTATAACATTAAATTTATTTGATCAACCATTCATTACGTTAACGAGTCTAAAAAATTGTTCACTACTCAAACGAGTCAAACCAATTGCCAATTTTGACAATGGATAAAACATATTGATGACAATTTTGCATTGTTACTATCCATGGGGTAATAGGAGAGTGTAATCTAGCAATCCCATAAAGCGCGTTATGTATTTGGTATTAAGTTTAATTACTTCCATTAATCTGTTCACCCTACCCGCCCCTAACAGGCAAAGCCCGTATGGGTATATTCAACGCTGACATGAGCTCCACTACGGTCGACATCGAGGCCGGAGACGTGGGTTTCGTACCGAAGACAACGCCTCATTATGTGGAAAACACCGGTACAAACGATCTCGTGTTTTTAGAGGTGTTCCCCACCGACACCTACCAGGACGTATCGCTGGCCACGTGGTTGGCGCACACCCCTACCCGACTGGTCAACGCGCACCTGCACACTGGCGAGAGATTTTTGGCTGATATTCCCAAAACAAAGGCAGTGATAGAGCCATGGAATCGAACGTGGTATCCGAGTCACGGCATTGTAAAAGAATCGGGGTCGGAAACTGGATCTGAGCCAGATCAAAATAAATAGTTAATATTAAATAAACAAGATACGAGTTTTTATTACGCTTGAGCCCATTAATGTTAAGTTTGTTGAATAATTCATGTTAAATTAAAACTTATTAATTAAATATGGAATTTGAATTGATTATTAAAAATACTATATAATAGTGTTATTCTATGAAGAGATTCATATTTTGATTTCTCAGAACAAAATTTTCTATTGGATTAACATTATTCATAAAATAACATTAGCCCATGTTAAGTCTATTGAAAATGTTCCATTGGATTAGCATTACCGATGGATAAAGCAATTGTCATAGGATAAAACTTATTAATTAAGTATGAAAGAATTGATTATTAAAAATATTACAGTATATTAATGTTGAATTTTACCTTTATATTATAGCTCTTGTATAGTACTTAAATGTTTAATTATTAATTTTATTAATTAGACATTTCAAGTAGAATAAATAACAACTCCATTGGTTTATTAAAACTATGAAACATTAATTATAAATTTTTAAAAACATTAAATGTTTACACAAAATGTTTCTAACAATTATAATTATGTAAAGCCTTTATATAACCAACCTGGTCAATCCAAACGTTTGCCGACCATATACGTCTGGGTGTATTCAATGCCGGTGGTAACGCCATGACAATGGACACCTATGCGGTGACATCGGTTACGTACCGCAGGCGCAGCCGCACTGGTTTTAATGCAACGGCAAAGTTGACGCCGTGAAGCTGGAGGTGTTTCCCACCCCCTATTTTGAGGACGTTTCGTTGGCCGAGTGGTTGGCCCACACGCCCACCCAATTGGTCGACGAGCACTTTCATCCGGGTGACAAATTTTTGAACGGTATCGCTAAAACTTTGGCAGTGATTAGGCCCTGAAATCGCACAAACAATTGTGATGATTCTGAGTTTAGCACCGAGTCGAGCAGTACAACGCGTTTGAACTAGTTTAAATATTATATTCTCAATAGCTGTATGTAAATTTGTATTTTAATATTGACTACTTTAATTGATGTAGATTCTAGTAAATAATAAACATAAAATTACCATTATTAATTATTACATAAATTATAATAAATATTATTTATAATAGGTTTAAATTATTTATTTTAACTTTAAAACATAAAACAAATATTTGCTTATATTTTATTTACAGTATAATAGTTTTTTTATGGAATTTATTTTCTATTAATTGCTAATTACACTCAATTTTAATTATAAACATGTTTATTTTATTTTTTATGTCAAAATTGTGTTTAAATATAAATATCTAGGTGGACATATTATGTAATTCATGTAGACAGACATATGATATAATATTTACCGTCTTACATTTATTTATATATTATATAATAATTATCCAATATGTGTTCTATTTATTATTTATAAACACAATATAATCTTGTGTTAGATATAATTACTATCAAAAAAATATATTCCAATTGTACAATTAATATGCATTAACATTACTATTTTTAAATAACCAACAAAAATTTAAACAACTTAAAATAACCAACTTTAGTAATTTAAATAAGAAAGCTCAACATACCCACATTTACTATGAATCGAGCTATCAGCTATAAATACATAGTTGCTTTTATCACCATATGGATATTTGTGACAAAATGTGCCGGTGACAATTTAGCGCCGTTCATGAACGCGGCACTCGAGCGCCAGAACCCGTCGGCCAATCGGCCGCCGGTCACCGACGCCGGGAGTTCACCAAATTATAAATACCCGTTTGCTTTCTCGCGCACATCTTATTATAGCGGTGGTTGGGTGCGACAGGTGGGCACACTACCAATTAATTATTTAATACTTACCATAACTATTTACCAAAATTACTGTAATAACTGAATTTATAATAACTTATTTGATCGCCTAGGTGAACGTAAAAGATTTTGCTATAGCGACCACAATGGCCGGGGTACAAATGAAACTGATCAGAGGTGGCGTAAGGGAACTACACTTTCACGTTAGCTCCGAGTGGGCCTATGTGATCCAGGGCACTTGTCGAATCACCGCCGTAGATGAAAATGCTAAATCGTTTGTGGAGGATGTGAGTGCGGGCGATGTGTGGCTGTTTCCCGCGGGTATACCGCACTCCATACAAGTAGAGTGACCAGCTTTATGTTTGAAATTATGTTTTTGTGTGGGAATTTATTACGGTTATTTTGTCAAATGCTGTACAAACTTGAAACTTTAATTATGATTTAATTTATTAATTACTTCCATAATAGGGCTTAGGCAGTGACGGGTGCTTTTTTCTATTGGCGTTTGACGATGGTAACTTTGATGATTTACAAACGTTTTAACTCGTCGATTGGCTGCGCCACGTGCCGCTGGATGTGTTGGCCAAAAATTTTCAAGTAGGTTACTAAACATTTTATCTTAGAAATTATCACGAACAAAACAAATAATCACAAAATATTTATTACCTAGGTGCGACCGGAAACGTTCAAAAACATACCGCAGGACAATCTGTATATATTTGCCAGTGAACTGCCCCGACCTCTAGCCCAGGAGAAAGCGATGGCGGCAGAGGGCACGGGTGAAGTGCCCCAAACGTACGCCTACTTCGCGTCGTCCCAACCGGCGAACGTCACGCGATGGGGCGGCACGGCTAAGATCGTCGACAAAAACAACTTCCCGGTGACCACAATCGCGGCCGCCATTGTTACGCTCAAACCGGGCGCACTCCGGGAACTACACTGGCATCCAAACGCCGACGAGTGGAACTACTGTGTGACAGGTAGAGTGACCAACAAACAAAATACAATAATAATAGCAACAACATTTAAATATTAATTTTTATTTTGATATATTAATAGTTTGATTATAATTTATTATAAAAATATTCTATTATTTAACTGGTTAATTTTTTAAATATAATTTTATACTTTTACTTAATCTGTTCACTCTACCCCACAGGCAAAGCCCGTATGGGTATATTCAACGCCGACCTGAGCGCCACTACGGTTGACATTGAGGCCGGGGACGTGGGTTACGTACCGAAGATAACACCTCATTATGTGGAAAACACCGGTACAACCGACCTCGTGTTTTTAGAGGTGTTTGCCACCGACACCTACGAGGGGGTATCACTGGCCACGTGGTTGACACACACCCCTACCCGACTGGTCAACGCGCACCTGCACACTGGCGAGAGATTTTTGGCCGATATTCCCAAAACAAAGGCAGTGATACAGCCCTGGAATCGAGCGTGGTATCCCAGTTACGGCATTAATAAGCAAACGGGGTCGGAAACTGGATCAGAACAAGATCAAAATAAATAGTTTATATTAAATGAGCAAGATACGAGTTTTTATTACGCTTGAGTCCATTAATATAGAGTTTTATTCATGTTAAATTAAAAGTTATTAATTAAGTATGGAATTTGAATTGATTATTTAAAATACTATATAATAGTGTGCTTCGATGAATAGGTTCATATTTTGATATCTTATGACAAAATAGGATCAACATTAACCATTGGATAACATTAGCCCATGTTAATTTTATGAAAAAAGCTCTTTAGGATTAGCATTACCAATATTAAATTATTGCCATAGGATTAACATACTGACATATAATTAAAAATTATTATATCTAACTTCAAATCTAGACCAATTAAAATAATGTTTATGAAATATTTACATAAAATCTAAAGTCACAACTTATAGTACAGTTTTGTACTGCGAATTGTCATTGGAGTTACAAGTGTTATATGTGACATGTGTATAAAATTTTAACTAAACTTTATATTACATACTGTATAATTATGTAAATTACTATAGCACCTTAGGCTACTAGAGTTTTAAATATTATACTAAATGTCTCTAACAATTATAATTATTTATATAACCAACCTGGTCAACCCAACTATTCGTAGGCCATATACGTTCGAGGACGTACCTCTTGCCGAGTGGTTGGCCCACACGCCCACCTGATTGGTCGACGAGCACTTTCATCCGGGTGAGAAATTTTTGAACGGTATTACTAAAACGTTGGCAGTGATTAGGCCCTGGAATCGCACAAAAAATCGTGGTGATTCTGAGTTTAGCACCGAGTCGAGCAGTCCAACGAGTTTAAACTAGTTTAAATATAATATTCTCGATAACCGTATTATATGAATTTGTATTTTAACGGAGGTAGATTCTAGTAAATAACAAAAATTTAACTATATTGTTTACATTATTTATTAATTATTATAAATTTATAATAAATGTTATTTATAAAAAATTTTTAATAATTTATTATGTTTATAAAACATAAACAATTATTTAATTATGTTTTATTAACAGTTTAATATAAAGCTTTATAATATTCTAAAAATAGGATTTATTAAATATTTATGACAATTAATTTTAATTATAAACATATTTATTT